AGTGCAACTTGGGAAGAGCATGTCGACCATTTAAAGGAGGTCCTGGATCGGCTGCGTTCAGCAGGCCTTACCATCAATCCAGCAAAGTGTGCTCTTGCTAGGACAGAAATACAGTACCTGGAGTACACCATTGGAGGTGGTACTCTGAAACCTCAAGTTGATAAAATCAATGCAATCTCATCCTGTCCGCTCCCACAAACCAGGAAACAGCTGCGGTCTTTCCTTGGCATGGCTGCATTTTACCACAGATTCATCCCCAATTTCTCAGCTAGAGCAGCACCCTTAACAGACATAACAGGTTCCAGAATTCCCACAAAAATTCAGGGGACAGCAGATGCCATTGCAGCTTTTAAAGACATTAGCCAGTCCCTGCGTAAGAATCCTGTCTTGCACTCACCAGATTTTGCAAAAGACTTTTTGTTGCAAACTGATGCTTCTGAAAAGGATCTTGGGGCAGTGCTTCTGCAGGGACCACCAGAGGACCAACATCCAGTTGCCTACATCAGTCGCAAGCTGCTGCCAAGAGAGAGACGCTATGCAACTGTGGAGAAGGAAGCCTTGGCTATTAAATGGGCCCTTGACTCATTCAAATATTATTTGTTAGGAAGAGAATTCACACTTCAGACTGATCACAGAGCCCTCCAGTGGCTAGAAAAGATGAAGGACACTAATGGGAGAATCACCAGATGGTATCTTGCAATGCAGCCATTTCGGTTTAAGGTTCACTACATCCCCGGTAAAGACAACACAACTGCTGATTACCTTTCTCGGTGCCAGAGGGAAGATCAGGAAGTGGGGGAGTGTGTGATGGCCAAATCCATGGCCACACTCTGAAGGCAGAAGTCGGTAACTCTTATGCACAATTTAGTTTTCATAATTTATTTTTTCATTCAAATACAACACTTTAGTTTCAGTAAAACATTTATTAGTTGATTTGGATACATTTGTTCTTTATGTTAGCGCGCACATTTAGTTAACATATGTATTTATATCAACTTTAAAGTTTAATTTGTTTGCAACTAACTTTGTTTGTTTTTGCCGGTACTTACCTGCCTTGGAGTGGCCAGACAAAAGATGGATGCCAGGGCTCAGCAGGCTTAAATGCTGATTGGACTGCACCACTAGTTCCTGCTGGCAGGGGAAATTTGTAGTTTCTTTATTTAGATAAGTTTTGTATTTAAGTAAATATTAGTATTTAAACTTTAATATTTTTGATTTTCATTTTTTGGGTTTTAGTTTAGCCAAACTTAGCTGTACTGTTAGTTGTTTGTGTTATTTGTAATTGTATTCTGTTTAGTTACCCCTATTGTGTCTTAATTGGTCTGATCAGCCAGTATATA